GGGGGGGGGGAGAGAAAGAGAGAAAGAGAGAGAGAAAAAACGAGCGGAAACGGTCGAATATAATTCATGTCGACATCCTAGTATTATGTAAACAAGCATTTTTGTAATCACTGCTCTACGTTGATCGTTGCATCGATCCCCTGGCTCCGTGCACGCGCCGTTTGTTGCCTCGTGTACGGAAGACAATACGCAAGGGATGAAAAGTTGGAAACGAGAGGGACGAAGCAAGATTTCGCTCGTGATTTAAAATTATTAAAGAGAAGAATCGCGTTCGAATCGAGAAGACACGCTAATAAAATAGTTTTGTCAATCTCCCGTTTTGACAAATGAGAAAAAAGAAACGAGAAAGGAAGGAGGAAATCTTTTTAACCGAGCGATATTTCAAAAACACATTTCTGAAAAAAAAAAAAGAAATCAATCCCTTTCTCTGCTCTACAGAAATCCATTTTTCAATTCCTTTTGAATCTCGCGCCAATGTGTCACGATAACTATTCGCTCTTTAATTTTTCAATTTTAAATTTTTCATAAATAAAATTCAACCCCTCTTCCCTATTTTACGGTTCATTTTTCAATTTCCCTTTTAAGTTTCTTCTCGCGATAAAACATAGCAACAATTGTTCTACTCGCTCTTCAGCTTTTCAATTTTTAATTTTTTAATAAAAATAAAATTCAACCCTTTTTTCTAAAAAATAATTCATTCTTCGACTCTTTTGAATTTGAGGATAACTGTTCATTGAGTTTAATGCCCTTTTTCAATCTTTTCGAATTTCCTCTCGCGACAATGTAACCGTTCACCTCCTCTTCATCTTTGCAATTTTTAATTTTTCAAGACAAAGTTTATCCCTCCTTTCTACTCGACGATTCATCTCTCAATTCTTTTGAATTTCATCTCGACCCCACATAACGATAACGATATTTCCAGAGCATTTTAATCCCATATTTATTGCCCTGCGAAACAATTCATATTTCAACCCTTTTGAATTTCTTCCCGCGACAATGTAACCGTTCACTTCCTCTTCAACTTTGCAATTTTTAATTTTTCAAGATAAACTTTATCCCTTCGTTCTACACGTCTCTCAATTCTCTTTAATTTCATTCTCATACAATAACGATAACTCTTCGCAGAGCATTGTAATTCCGTATTTACTGCGAAACAATTCATTTTTCAACCCTTTTGAATTTCTTCCCGCGATAATGCAACGACAATATTCGTCTCTGTCTTTCTCTCTTTCTCTCTCTCTCTCTCTTCCTCTTGAATTGTTTAATCGGGATTACTGTTAAGTAAAATTTTATTTCGAATACACGAGCATCGAGGAGAAGAAACATTCAGAGACCTTTGTCGAGTTAAGAATGAGAGCCACTCGAGAAGATTTCTCCGGTTCAATGCCAGCGTTCTCCAGCTGTCTGAGAAGAATTATCGGTTGGCTATGCAAAAATTAATTGTCGTTAACGGTTTATTATTCATGAAATCATCGAATGTCCCGTTTAGAGCATTGAATGAAGACTCGAGTGTCTCTCTCGTAAACTCGTTCTTTCTCTCTCTCTCTCTCTCTCTTCCCCCCTCGTTTCTCTTCCGTGGCCACTTTCGAGCTGGAACTTTTCAAGAAAGAAAGCACTTTACATCTCTGCGCTGAAATCCACTTCACAAAGACTTCCCCTCTAAGTGATATTTTTTTTTCTTCCCGATATATCGGTTAACGAACTTTCTTGGCGAAGAAAAAAATAAAAGAACGAACGCAAATTTAATTTTCTTCGAACGATATAGAAACTTTGATAAACAATCGAAAAAAAAACGAATTCGAAACGAGCAATGGCTCGGATTTTTCTAATCGGTGCGTCGCAAGGGTGCAGTAATAAATCACAAGTGGAAATATCTCTTCGTATATACAAATGAAATAATGGTAAGAATAAAGTGGAAAATAATCTATCCTCGATGAATCGGATTGCACGAGATATTCGATTTGTGATTTATTAGAGCGATTAACGAGACCGTTGTTCTAATGCCGGTTAATCCATTATTAATAGGTGGCACGAATCGTTTTAAATCTAGATGCGTATGAGATTCGTCGTTAAATTACAAATTACGGTAGGTAGGTAGGGAGGAGGGGAGGGAATTCGTCGAATGGCACAACAGCGAATAATATTTTTATTCGGCCCAATACCCTCGACTTCACACCGAATATTTCATTCGCCGAAATCGCGGTTTATTTTTCTATGCACGCGGCATAACGCGATTTTCTTTCGATCGTATCTCGATAATCTTTGATATAAACAATGATGAAATACAATTCGACGCGTAGCGTTCCATGTTCATCGAATATTTGAAATCGTTTCCCGCGTATTTTTTTTTTTTTTTTTTCACTACTGTGATTAATCATCTCGTTTTTTATACGCATACACGCGTATACATATTCGATACAATTTCCATTGTATCGAAAAGTTTCCCGAAATATCGATTGGTTAAATACTCGAAATTAATTAAAGCTATTTCTTCTATTTCAATAGTTAACTTTCGTTGTTACGATTATCGTTCAGTCTCCCTTTTCTTAATTACCTCGCGTCAAATTTTCCTCGAATGGACGAAGATTTAAACGAAGAACGAGACTAGTTTTCGAAGTTGCGGACGATTTGTAAATTTGTTTGGAAAACGAAAGAGAAAAGTTTGGGGAGCGGAGTGTAACGCGGGATCATTCGTGTAAAAATTAGTGATCGATCGAGATCAGACGCTAATTCTTTGAGGATGAAGCTCGAGATTAGGAAATATATTATTCACGAAATATTATTGCGAAAACCCGCGCGCTTTTCGTTACAACGAGTAACGAGTTTAAATTTTAGTTCCTTTCGTTCTAGTTCCTCCGTTTTATAAACAAAACCGACCACCAATTTCGAGAGGAAGCTTTTAAAAATTGAAAGCAATTAGTCGTATATGCGGAATATGAAACGATTTTTTTTTTTTTAAGAATCAGAATGAATCGAGAGACTGTGAAAGTGAAAGAGAGATAGAGAGAGAAACATCGAGGTTAAGAGAGGGATTCTCACCGTGTTAGGTTATAATTTGATTCGAATTCCCGTCCCCCGATGTCGATACTCTCGATCTTATTCCCATTCAACTTCTTTCTCCTCCTTGTCCTCCTTCGAAAACGAGACAGCTTCTTTGAAAAGAAGAAGAAGAAGAAGAGAGAAAAAAAAATTTGTTATCGCCTTTCGCGAAGAGAAGCGGGCGGCGAAAGGGCGCGTAAACAAGAAGAAAGATTACGGCGCACAACACACGACGACGATCCAAAATAAAGACTGATTCACGAGACTTCCGTTTTGCTGGCGCGAAACCGGCCGTTGACGAGGGATCGGCGGTACGTAACGGTGTAAATAAAACGACCTTGACTTTCTCGCATTTCCGGGCTGCGATGAATCTTGATTGCCTTCTGACTGCCTCCAGAGGAAACCGCTTTCCACAGGATGTGCGATCCCGACCGACTCCACCACGCCACCAACTCACCACTACACCGCAGTTCACGTGATCGATATCACTGTCCCGACCGAGATCACTGCACGCGACCAAGTCTGGATCGACGCGGTACCGACTGATCCAATCTTTCTTGATGAATGAAAAAGGCGGAAGCGGTGGAAAAATACGCGTGCACGTGTACGCACGTAAACGCCACCGGCAAAGTTTATCCGGGCACCGGGCATCCGAGCGAGGCGAAACTGGCCGATAACTCTGGAAGACGAGAGTCACAGACGCGCGAGAACCGGTGTAAA